ATCTGCGATCAGGTATTATTTTTTCCTACACTCGATGAGAAGAGGAAAGGGAAGGGAAGAAAAGAGATTGGGGGAGGGGGTGGGGTAGAGAGGGGGAGGGGGGTGGGGACTGATCGCAGTTTATTTAATTTGCATTTAATTTGCGCACGGATATGTGGCTGATGTTTTTCCACTAAGAAAAGGAAAGGAAAACTAAGATTTTTCAACTTGCAAGCCATTCCAATCCGTGCCATCATAAGTCAAAGAGGTTATTAATGGTATTGGTAAATTGGTTTAGTGATTTTAAACTGAGCTATTACTTTTGGGTTTTCTTTGCCTCCAACATCTCTTTCAGCTTTTCAAAGCAACAGCATAGCTCCTATAAAAGTGTCAAAGTTTTAGTCATTTAAAAGGCGGGACAATGCTAAAATAAGTGCTTTTATTGATTGAAGAAAAAAAAAATGACAGATCATGTCTCACTGGAGTTTGCAAGTTTCCTTGAACATCGAGTCAAATAATTCTGCATACAAGAAAGGACCACTGAGATAACCTTCTACATCGTCACACTGTACTTCTACTTTTATCACTGCAATACTAAGACAGTTACTATTTATGCCTTTCTCTTTTAACTAGTACTGCTCATAGTTAGTTTAAATCGCTTCAGATCCAATAGGATGTTCATAAAGGTCTTCAGTCTCCGGCACAGCCTCCTCAACAGCCTCCACCGTCCCCTCCACCGCCCCCTCCGCCGCCTCCATCGCCTCCTCCACCCCCTCCCCCGCGAAAACTGACACCTCCTCCCCAACTTCCGCCTCCACCGCCTCCGCCACCCTGAGAAAAAAACAAACGTATAAAGTATTCTTCTCCACTGGGAAAGACAACCGTGAAGTTAAGATTAGAAGGGCTAAGCCAATGGTACGGAATTAATTATGCTGGGACGCAAGTTACACAGTGGGGCTTTCAAAACAAAGGAAATTCGGGCTGGACTGGCACGAGTTCCTTTATTTTGAAAGTCGTACTGTGTAACTTGCGTCCCACTATAATTAATTCCGTACCATGTGACCGGACCGTGCAAAGGACCTATTCATATTTGCTCCAGTTATTTTATTGCGTCGAACAAATCTGGCGCTCTGATCGTTTTATTGGTAAGGCAGTGACATAAAGTCATTGGCATGTTTCAATTTTAACTACTCCTTAGATTTTGTCAGCTTTTCCCGATTACACACGAGAGACGCTGGGAAGAAACATGGACTGAAAAAGCTATAGGTCACGACTGAAAGAAACGCTGGAAACCAAGAAATGACTACAATACATCACCATACGCTAAGAGAGCGAAAAGCTTTCGTTTCAATACACAAAAACCCATTGCAGTTGAGTACACAAATTTATATTAAGTTTTCTTATTCAGTTCCTTTTCCCTTTCACTGGATTATCCTGCGTCAGCCAAAGCTGATGACGTCACAAGAAGTACAACTTGCTTACCTCCGCAAACCGTAAAATTACTGGTTTCGCAGTTTTAGCCGTTTTAAATAAATTGGAAGATAATTGTAATTGCGTGTACAGTTTGAACAGTGGCGAAAGAAAGATTAAAGCAAACGATCTTCTATGTATATAAATCCCAGTTGCACAACTCTATTTTACAACATTTTTACGGACTCTCACGTTTTCACGTTTTTAAAATGTTTTTATTTTCTCGTCGTTTGTTCTTTAACACTTTTGGCCCTGACAGTGAAATCTGCTTCAACGGGAATCCCGTTAACTGTACTGTATCTTCAACGGTATCCCATAAAGATGTTATTCTTTCCCGAAAATCCTGGTATCCCCAATATAAAGTTGACATGAAACAATCTTAACACAGGGAACCGTCCTTAAGCAACCGTTTATCAGTTGCCGATCTTACATGGAAATTTTTTAACTCACGGTCTAAGCCAAGTCTACCAAGGCTCATCGATTATCTGAACACGCACAACTGCTCGAACAAGGTCAAAGTTTTAAAATCAATCGTGCCACCATTATCAAACTCCAGTCAAGGGTTTCAAATACACCAGTAACTTCGCGCTGTTTTCCGATATTTCAGAAATCTTGATTCGCTCGTTAACACTGCATTGGTTAAACGCAAAATAAATTGTTTATTAAGCTATCAACTTACCTCGCAATCTTTGCAGCAGGAAAAGCAATTCCCCATCGTAAATCAGATCACTGAGGGACACTGAGTCTTCAAGGCGAAGTTATGATCTAGTTTTTCTCCTGACGACACCGAAGATGTGATCAAAACTGATGGCTTCGGAGAAACAAAGCAAATTTAACTGCGGACGAGGCAGTCATTTACTTAAAATAGCTCCTAATTACAGGGATTTTACTGAGCCGTGGTAAAGGAAGATTAATTTCATTTCAACCAAAGTGACGTACCGGCAAATTGCGGTGGCGATTGACTAAGCATGAACAAAAGTCGCTTAACATGATTGTGCAAATTTACAATAAGAGAAATTAAGAGATGATACATGTCAGTTACGAATCAGTTATCCCAAGCAAAATATTGTTGTGAAATTTTAAGAACATGTTTTGAAGTAATCGAGAACTACGAAATTGTTCGTCATAGCAAGCTTCTAACTTCCCGACGGGCTAATTAGAATATGGCAGCAATAAAATCATGTTCAAGTTGATTGCTGCGGGCCAATATGGATAGAAAATGTTCCGTATTATCGATACTGGGGTTTCCCTAAAAATGTCGCCGTTCAGTGATTAGGTTGAAATTACGCATATGCATACTCATTGTTAATTACAAATTAATAACTGCACTTACAAAAGAGATTTCTGACTCGTGCAGCCCCGACACCAACAAACATTTCATCAAACTCGGAACCAGAACAGAAAAAGAACGGTACTCCAGCCTCGCCTGCAACAGCCTTGGCAAGAAGAGTCTTCCCCGTTCCTGGTGAGCCAATCAGTAGCACCCCTGGAAAAAAGAAAAAACACAACAAACATTTACACGCAACAGCACCAAGTTAGTAATAAAACCAACAAAACCGAAAAAACCAATGCATTTCACACTGTATTTTGACTGGGCACCTGTTGGCATTTTTCCTCCGAGCCTCTTAAATCTTTCTGGGTTTCTCAGAAACTCAACCACATCCTTTAACTCTTGTTTTGCCTCTTCCACCTAAAAACAGAGGTAATTAAGTGCTCTGACAGAAATTAGGCCACTTAAAAGACAGTGAGAGCAGTTTTCATTTGAGTGCCAATGAGCAATCGGTTTTGTAACAACTACGGTACATGATTGGCTTAAAAAACTCGCACCACTATTTCATCCAATCAGAAGTAAACGCAAAATCAATTGTGACTCACTTGTACTCGTTTTCCCGTGTTTTGTGTCAGCTACATGCATAGTACATGTAATAACTTCAAGTTTTGATTGGTTCACTGTATGGTCTGCATCCTTTGTGATTGGCTAGAGCAACTATTTTGGTGTATTGCTTTTATTACATGCACGCTCAATATGAAAGTTGTTCTATACAGTGTACATCAATAAAGCAATAAAATAGACAGACAGGCATACAGGCAGACAGACAGACAGATAGACAGCTCTAGACAGATAGACAGTAATAGTACATAACTGTAAATGTTTTCTTCCCTGAACAATCTACAATACAGTGTGGATGTACATGTATAGTAAAGTTCATGAATTGTTTTCTTCATTTTTTGGACATTCAACATAACATACCCCTTGGACATCTGTAAATCTGCATTTTCTGTCCACATTGTCAGGATGGATATCCTTTTGACTTGAGCTCACTGAAGAATCAAAACAAAAATTTCAAGACAAGGAGTTTTCTTAACCACTAACCACATCTTTTACCAAAGAAAGTGTTTTGTTTCTTTCAAATATCAGTTAGAATAGACTACATGTATGCCTGTGTTAATTATAAAAACAAACAACCTATACTTCTTCTCACACACAACTGGGAGCCATGTCAAGCCACAGAAACTGTTTTTAAAAAACCCGATCTTCATAAATTCAACCAATAGACGGCCAAAAATGACCAACAGTCGGCCAACAGTCAGCCGCCTTTAGTAAGCGGACAGACGACCAACAGTTGCCTGAAAGATGGTTGACAGACGACCAACAGGTTTTTTCGGGAGCTGTTCTTCACAATTACCATTAACATACATAGGTAAATTACTGACAAAACAAACAAACAAACAAACAAACACAAAACACACTACATGTATCTTAAAAGTTTCCCATCTGACCTAAATGTATATGGCATGACTCATCTGAGAATATGTTGAAGGCTTGTGCCAATAACTGTGGTGCAGAAACCCTCAGTCTCTGTTTTTTAAACTTAGATTAATGTTCATATTGTTTAAAGCTTATGTAGCTTGATACTCACTCTTCATCTGGAGTTGTGCTTCAATCAAGGAGAGAATTAGAAACAAAGCAATGAGAAATCTGACTGTGTTCCAGAGTTGTTCCTTGAAAAATGCACCTGCATTGTTTCAATAAAAAAGAGCACTAGTTATTATCACCAGTATTCTGATCAAAGGAATACAATGAGTGAAGAAAGTTGTGTCTGATAGCCTGGGGCTGGTGCCTTTTACAGTCAGGCAAGTGAATTCTGTCCTTCACTCAATTGAAGATTCTTGGAAAAAAATTTCCGAAGAATTACGAACTACTAAAGTACTGCATGAGATGGAATTTTAGGGGCCTAGTGAGAATGACTTTTGGGCTAGTACATGTACATCATAGCTGCAGCTTGCATGAAGGACAAGCTTGAAGATTGGTTTTAATTGCACCCTTTGAGTTTGACATATTTTAATTTACAGGTTCACAGTGTAAATGCTGGGCTGCAGCTAGTATGATGCAAACCAAGGCACTTGACTCAGTCATGGTTTTTGTTTTTGTTGCAGTAGGTTTTTTTGTAGGGGGAAGGAAAAGTACATGTAAAGCAATACTAAATACCTTGGAAGAGAATTTAACCATAGACCTTGAAGCAAAAAGTTTTGTTTGTCTGGCTACGGCTCTGAAATGTACACTGTACATACTGTACATAAAGGTCAATGCACCATGGATCAACTGGCCAGGTTGACTGCCTCAAGGGTGAAAAATTTAAGGTGCTGATCTCTTGAGTAAAACACCATAAGCAATTAACTTAAGAAACTGAACAATAACAAGCCAAACTTACCTTTCTGGTTTTGTGTAATAACATAAACAGGANGAGCACTAGTTATTATCACCAGTATTCTGAGCAAAGGAATACAATGAGCAAAGAAAGTTGTGTCTGATAGCCTGGGGCTGGTGCCTTTTACAGTCAGGCTAGTGAATTCTGTCCTTCACTCAAGTGAACATTCTTGGAAAAAATTTTCTCAAGAAATACGAACTACTAAAGTACTGCATCAGATGAAATTTTAGGGGCCTAGTGAGAATGACTCTTGGGCTAGCACATGTACATCATAGCTACAGCTTGCATGAAGGACAAGCTCGAAGATTGGTTTTAATTGCACCCTTTGAGTTTGGCATATTTTAATTTACAGGTTCACAGTGTAAATGCTGGGCTGCAGCCAGTGTGATGCAAACCAAGGCACTTGACTCAGTCATGGTTTTTGTTTTTGTTGCAGTAGGTTTTTTTTTGTAGGGAGAAGGGAAAGTACATGTAAAGCAATACTTAATACCTTGGAAGAGAATTTAACCATGGACTTTGAAGCAAAAATTTTTGTTTGTCTGGCTGCGGCTCTGAAATGTACTCTGTACATACTGTACATAAAGGTCAATGCACCATGGATCAACTGGCCAGGTAGACTGCCTCAAGGGTGAAAAATTTAAGCTGGTGATCTCTTAAGTAAAACACCATAAGCAGTTAACTTAAGAAACTGAACAATAACAAGCCAAACTTACCTTTCTGGTTTTGTGTAATAACATAAACAGGATTATCTTCAGTTCCAGTCTGAATGGCAGGAGAGGTTGCTGTGCCGTAAGAGGATGGGCTGCCAAGTTCATTTGATGGTGACAAGATCTACCAACAAAAAACAAACAGCTCTTTCTAAATATATTTTACCTATTATACTCATAAATTCAAATCAAAAAGTTCTTTGAAATTGATTTCGTGATAAAAACTAACACTGTGATTGTTTGTGTGCAGGCCTAATGGAGATGGAGGTGGACTACAAGCTTAGAGATCAGGTACATGTTCAAATCTAGATTACAGTGTAGTACAAATTAA